TGTACTTAGGCCCCTTCATTTTCAGTTTTGATTTTATTTAATTTTTCTCAGGAATTGATCCGTGGTTATTACCACAACAACAACAAGAACAGGGGGACATCAGTGCAAAAGAAACCGATTCATTGTTCTGGGTAAACATCAGGGGGTTATTTTGGTGGATGGAAAGACGGGAAAAAAGTCTTCAGTAAATTAATGCTCTGAATTCCATTCATCAGTGTGGTTTGCTGCAGAACTAAGACAGAACTCGGAACACATGCTGCCGCTTCTGAGTTTAAGAAAACAATCTCTCTAAATAAAACTTTTCATCTGAATAAATAGTTTACTGGTGGAGAATTTAAATATTTATAGGCTAATCGTTCTCATTTAGTAATTAGGCCACACCATTTGCAGCACATACGCTCAACTTCATCCTTTTCTCCTGTTTTTTTTTTAAATTGATTTATTATTTTCAAATGCTTCCTTGTGTTCTGAAACGTATTCTGACACAGATTTGTGTTTTCTTCCCATTTTAGTGGGTCAAATCTTTAAACCATTATCTGCTAACAGCCTGAAATATGTCTGTGGTGGGCGTGAGATTCCTCAGGACATTCAGATGCGCACGCACTTCCGAGCTTCCCTGTGTGCTTGTTTGTTTATTGTGTGTCTCTAGAAGAGACACACAATACAGAGCCTTACTTCACCAGGCAGCTTTGCATAGACCCACAGACTAATGTATTATCGTAATTACATTTCATAAGATATGTGTTTGTATTTTCCTAATAAAGCAAGTTATTTTTTATATATTTGAATGACACAAAAGTAGGGTGAAAATCAGAAAAAAATGAATAATACTTTTTGTAAAACGCAGGAATTTTTCAATAAAAATCGATTTAAACTGAAAACGAAGGGGCTTAGCGATACCCGGTGAGTGTGTGGGGGAGAGGGGAGAAGGACCATGCTGGCTGGCCTGTGCTTTACCCCATGGGGAAAGGAGGGAGAGCAGCAGGGGGAAGGTAGCGGTGCCTGTGCTGTACCCCACTGGTTACTGCTGGGTGAGAAGCCGTGGCACAGCGGGGTGCTGCAGGGATTGATAGGTGAGGCTCAAGGCGCCAGCCCAAATCTGCAGCCCCCCAGGGGGCAGGGGCTGGGTTAACAAACCCCATACTACCTCTCCCGGCTTTGGGCCAGAGCCCCCGCACCCCAGGCGCTAAGCCCTGCAGCTCCCTCGGCGCCGAACTGGGGGCAGCTCCCTCGGCGCCGAACTGGGGGCAGCTCCCTCGGCGCCGAACTGGGGGCAGCTCCCTCGGCGCCGAACTGGGGGCAGCAGGAATCGGGCATGGGGGAAAGGCAGGATACACGGGGGAATTTATCACCCAAAGCAGCAGCTGGGGGGCTGGGCTGATGGGATCCCCCAGCATCACTTAACGCCACAGGCCCCCCATGACCAGCTGCCCCTGCGGAGCCCTGCACAGCTCATGGCCCTGGGCACAGGCCCACAGGGCCTGAGGTCACTGGGCTGCAGGGTGGAACAGTGCCCCACAGAGGGGTTGGGGAAACGTACCTGAAAGAGCTGCTTGAGGGAGAAGAGGGAGCGCCTCAGCTCCGGCCCCTGGGAGTTGTACAGTTTCTCTGGAAGGGAAGGAAACACAGCCACTGCATTAGCGGGGTGGGGGACACGGACCCAGGAGCATCCCCCAGCAATGGGGAAAGCCACGAACCCTCACCTCTGCAGCCGGAACAGAGCGCACGCTGGCCAGGGCCCATGCTCAGTGCCAGGGCTCAGCTGGGCTCTCTCCCTTTGCAGAGGGGACGGAGGGGGGTTGGTGCCACTGACGTGACTTTCACTTCGGGGCAGGGATCGAAGCTGGGGACACCCCCTCCTGGAAGGAAGGGGTGTGACACAGACGGGCTGGGGCATTGGGCCTGCCAGGCTGGCTGCCCATACCGACGTGCGGGCCAGAGGCCGCTGTGCTCGGGACTGAACCACCCAGGGGCCGAGGGGCGCCCGTGCTGGAATGAGGCTTCGAGGGCTGCCCGGCTCTGCCCAGCAGGACAGCTCTGCTTCCTGGCCTAGCCCCACGCCTGCCACCTACCACGATGGCCAACTCGGCCCAACTCAGCTGACTCCCAAGGGGTCCCAGGCACCCATCTCCTCCCCTCGGGGTGGTGGCAAGAGAAGCCCGCCTGCTGGGACCCCGGGGTGCTGCAGCAGGGAGGAGATGGGGAGGGGAGGAGATGGGGTGAGGTTTCTTGGCCTCCCCGTGCTGAGGACTGCATGCTGTGGTAACCCCTCATCTCGCGGCCCAGCGGGTTTGCGCTGAGCCTGAATGCTAGGCAGTGCCGTGCGCTCCAGGAGGGATTAGCACAGGGCTCAAGAACCTTCAAGTGACCGAGCTGGGGCCGGCTTGGAACCAGTTCCCGCCAGGGGAAGGCTCCGGATCCCATTCTCCGCCCCACAGCGCAAGGCCTGTGTCCCACCCCCCGAGCCAGTCAGTTCCCCACCCCCCACGAGGGAGGTGCTCGGCTCTCTGTAGACTGCAGCCCTCGGGAGTCAGGGCGGCACCTGCCAAGCGAGAACCCCTGCAGAATGACACACACTTAGGCCAACCACCACCACGAGACCACCCAGACACGGACGGGATGCCAGCCCGGGGCCGAGCTAGACCCTGTACGTAGGAAATGACCCAATCGTGAAACCAGGGCTAACAAACACTTCCTGAGCCCGCCAGCTGCAGTGGATGCTTCGAGGAGACTGATGCAGACACCGCGCTCCTGCTGGAGCCCGACCGTGCCCCCAGACAGCTTACAGCGCGGCTAGCATGGACAGCGCCCTGCGCCCCCCAGCTGAGAGGGTGTGCAAGGAGAAGCTACGCCGTGCTCTCGCCCTGGCAACGGCGGCCAGAAAGCGCCCGACATCAGAACAACCTAAGAATTGAATTGTCCCCATAAGCCACCACCTCCCCCCAGCCCAGCGTTCCCTGTACCTACCCCCTGGGCTCCAGACCCACAGACTGCACCCCCAGACGCCTGCTGTATAATTCGACCTTATTATTGATTACTTAGTTTGAGCCTCTTTTTAAAATGCATTTCTCTCAAAAACCTAGGCTGTGAGCAGCTTTTCAATTCAACGTTTCCCAAAAAGCAGTAATAGCCCTGACAGATAAATAACTTGAAAGGTACGTTTCAAAGTTCTAAAAGCGATGCTTAAGCCGTTTACAACATTTTTTAAACAACTTAATGATTATAATCTTTAGAAACATCTGCGCCTTTAAGGCAAAACTGTGGTGCAATTTGTTTTGACATTCCGTGGGATATACACACAACAGCAGTTTGTCATACATAGAATTGCAGCAATGTAAAGCAAGTTTTTCTTTTTTCTTTTCTTTTTTTAAATAAAGGTTTTAATACTTAAATTTAAGTGAGGGATAGAAAGAGATTTGATGTCTATAATAACAGGAGTTGAAGTATTTTTTTAACATGGTTTAAAGCCAAATTTGTTATATTCTTTTAGTGGTAAAAATTGTGTCTGAATTCCGTTTATATAGACAATATGCCAGGGGTGGCCAAACTTACTGACCGCCCGAGCCGCATATGACAAAAAGCTGGGGCCCGCCTGCCGGGACTTGGGACTTCAGCCCTGTGGGAGGCGCCTGCCGGGGCTCCAGCCACACAGGGAGGGGGGTCTCAGGGCTTCAGCCCCATGGGAAGTGCCAGCCAGGGCTCAGGGCTTCAGCTCCCTGCAGGCCTAAAGCCGCGGGACAGAAGCTGGAGGCAACACACATTGGAGGGGCATGTGGAGTCATGTGCCTCCCCAGATTTTTGCCAAGGTTTGCTGGTCCTACTTGGTCACATGGCGTCACCAGGCCTCCTCCTTGCACGGCCGCTGCTGGGGTCATGGGGAGAGACAGTGGCAACAGCTGGAAGCTGCAGGGAGAGCCACTGCTCTCCCCATGGAGCTAAAGCAGCGGCCCCGCCCTGCAGCCTGGGGGGGGTGTGACTCAAGCTATTTGGGGCCCCAAACCTTTAAATTGTACCCCCACTCTCAGCAGGCACCAGTCATCTCTGGCAGAAGCCCCTAACTCCACCACCCAGCTGCAGGGCAGAAGTCCCGAGCCTCCCCGCAGTCTGGTAGGTGGAGAACACAGGGGGAGAGAACAGGGGGCCCTGCACTTTAACTGTAAAAGAGCTGCATGCAGCTCGCAAGCCACAGTTTGGCCTCCTGTAATATGTTAATGAACTTCGGGGGGAATGGGGGAATCTGTCTCTTGTGCGGGATCTAAGATTTTTGCAGGTGGGAGCGGGATAAAAATGCAAGAAACAACCCGGGAGCAGGTGGTAGTGGGATTAAAAACAATAGTCCCGCGCAGGGCTCTAAGCCAGAGTGCAAGATCCTTCCCCCAGCAGCAAGCTGCACTTGAGCTACGAATCTCCCCCGCAGGGGGGCACATCCTCCCCTCCACCTCGGCTCCCAACCCGGGACCTGCAGGGTGCTAAGACAAGAGCTCCCTCCCTCCATTCTCAACCGCTACTTTCAGCTCGGAGTAGGTGTGGGCCCCTGCTCAGTCTCAGCCCGTTTGGGAAGGTCCCGCGAAGCTCCTGGAGCCCCTGGCTGCAGACAGGCCCTGCCGTGGCTCCTCCCTCGAGCACTAAGAGGCGCCCGTGGCCCCCGGGGCCTGCTGTCAGCCTTGGGGTCTGGGGGAAGCAGACACGTGGCCTGGCAGCCAGGGAGCAGCTACGGCCTGGCAATGGTGGGTTATCTAGAACTTGCCAATTTCCTGTTTTCTTTCGTTTTTTTCTTTTTGCAGAACAATGCTATAAATATCTCCCCTGGCTTCCTACGCAGAGAAGAAACAGGAACTCCAATGAGAAGCATGGCCTCCTGCTCTCCCCTGGCCCGGAGCCCAAGGTAGCTCGCCCCTGCTGGCTCTCCCCCGCAGTCCGAGAGGGCGGGCTCTTTCCAGCCAGGCGGACGGTGACACTCCTAGGACACAATGGCAGAATCCCGGCTGACAGCCCATCAGGGCTAAGTGTCTCAGGCTGTGCCAGGGGCCCGGCGGCCCAGCACAGTAGCACTAGCGCTTCGCCAGCACAGTCTCTGCTGGGCGCCCACTCCCGGGGACGGAAGGCACTGCAGAAAATCAAGCCCGTCTGCTCTCAGCACAGAGGGTCCACGTCATTGTTGCGGGACACAGATGGACAGTGCAGACACCTAAAGCCAGGCACCACAGGACCCACCACATCACGTCCGACACTGCTCCGGCTGGTCTGCTATCCCACCTCCTAGAGCGCTCAGAGACTCACGCGTCCGAGAAAGGTGAAAACCTCTCCTGCCGCGTCTGACAAGCTGTACAATTCTGTACATGGCCCTTGGCACAATCAGCTGATGTCCTGCCACATGAGATCTGATTATCCCTCTTAGCTCCCAGAGCGATGGATCAGCGGCACAAGGCTCACTGCCTTATGGAGACCAGAGCACAGGAACAAGAGGTGCAGATCTGCATGCCCTATGGAGCGAGTCCCCAGACAGCCCTTTCTATGCTCCAAGAGGAAGGCGCACTCCCCTTCACCCCCCTCTTCTGGAGTCCCCGCAAGAGAGCGCCCCTGGATAGCCCTTCCCAAGCAAGAGCACTCAGATTTTCACACCCAAGAGGCGGCTTTCCTGCCCCTGGCCCCTTCTCCCTCTGAGCCCTGCTGCTGTCATTACACAGCTGAGACACAAACTAGGGGGGGTAGGTGAAATGTCTCCTCCCTGCAGTCAGTCAGTCAGAGTGGGAGGAACCCCAGCTAGCCCTGGACACACTGGAGGTTGGGCCAGGTGATGGCTGACAGGTATGTTCAAGGTAACATGCACTGGCAGAAAGCATCTACCTCCCCCCTGCACCACCCCCAGGGCCGGCCTTAGTCATATAAGGCTGCGTAGGGCAGTGGTTCTCAAACTTTCGTATTGGTGACCCCTTTCACATAGCAAACCTCTGAGTGCGACCCCCCTTTATCAATTAAAAACACTTTTTATATATTTAACACTATTATAAATGCTGGAGGCAAAACAGGGTTTGGGGTGGAGGCTGACAGCTCATGACCCCCCATGTAATAACCTCGTGACCCCCTGAGGGGTCCCGATCCCCAGTTTGAGAACCCCTGGTGTTGGGCACCCGAAAATTTGGGGCACTATTGGGTCTTAGTGTCCACCCTTCTGCCTTTTCCTATCCCTGTTCTGACCCTTCCTGCAGGCTCCCACCACGGCTGGCTGCTGCAGCCTCCCCAGTCTTCCTCCAGAGGGGATCTAGTACTTAAAAGTGAAAAAGCCTCCAGCCTGCCAGACCTATTAGCACAACACTGAAACTGTTAGCGAGCCATTCACGGGGTAATGGAGCCATTGAACAGGCATTTGCCAACCCTCCCCCCCCCCCCATAGACTGTCTGAATTTACTGACTGGAAACAGTTGTGCATCACGGTCTTGTTTACTCAGAACATGTCAGTCTACAGGACCTTAGTTTAAAATCTGCTTTAAAAATATTTCATTAGCGTGATGGTGAAGATGATAAAATCACATCTCGAAAAAACCCTCGCATATTTAGATGCACAATCTGAGGATTCATCTTTAGTCTTAAATGCTTGGACCTTCAGACATCCTTCAAAAAGACACCCCCCCCCCCTTCTCTAAAATACACATGCGAGCCCGGGCTGCCTTCAGCACAGGGGCACCAGTTTAACAATACTGCAGTGGGCCCCATAAATCCTAAGGACGGCCCTGACCTCACCCTGTGCACAGATGGGCTCAACTTGCAGTGGCCTCCAGGGATAGGGGAGCGGCACTGCCCTGGGGCACAGGAGGAGTCAAACAGCACAGGGGGAGCAATAAAGGGGAACAGAAAACAGCCCACATCTGTTGATACTGAGAAACAGCCTCACCCCCGTGCTCTGTAGAGCCAGGCCTGCTTCCCTCACACACCCAGCAGAGCGGGAGAGGGGTTAGAGATCTGGACGGGGTTTACATACATCTTGAAGCAGCAACTGCTAAACTGCTCGGCCTGTCGGGCTTGACATGAGTGGCGTCCGAGGGGACTGACCGAGAGGTTCTCCCCCATCCCCTACCTATCTCCAGCAGGCCAGGAGCTAATAGAAATGCTGCATTCCCAGCACTCTGAGGAGGTGAGGGCCCTGCCGTGCCTGCTGATCTAATGGAAAACTTGGAAGCAAGGCAGATGCCAGGGGCGAAGGTCTGGAGACACCGAGAAGACAGTCAGGTCATGCTGCTGACCAAGCTGGCAAAATAAAAGTTAACCAAATTTCAGCCCCCCCGCCCCACTAATCTAAGAGTTAGCCTGTTCTCTCGCCAGGCCTCCTGGGTTAGAGCGGTAGGCAAATCTCCTCTCTCTGCAGGAACGTGAAGGAGGCACTTGGTGTTCAGACACATCCTTCCGCATGTGTCAGGGACAGGAAAAACGAACGCGACTTCCTGTGCCAGCAGCGCCAAGCCTGCTGCAGACCCCACGCAAATAACCATTGCTAGCAGCAGCCAGAGAAGGCCCATTCAGTGGTGTCTCCCCCAGAGCCCGTCTGGTAGGTCTGGGAGAAAGTTTGGGTTTCACAGGCATCCCCCAAAGAGCAACAAACACACCATGATGTATCCAGGTAAATAAGGTTTCATCAGCAATCTGATTACAGCGGAAGTGCTGCAAAGGCGAGTCAGGAAGAGGGCAAGAGTGTGTGACTGAATCACAGTCAGAAAGTGGTTTAGGAGCCCTGCAGCGGCCAGGCACGGTCTGCCTGCAGCAGGCTCCAGCAGCCAGCCCCCCGACAAGTCTGTGTGCAAAGACAGCAGCCAGCCTAGCTTTTGCTCTGTAAGCAGCCTGGTTTGCACGTTGCATGCCTGACACACCTGGGTCACAAGTCCAGTTTCCAGCTAAAGAAAGGAAGATCCTGATGCCCTCCCTGACCCTGAAGGTTCCTCTGCAAACAGGGGCTGGAGGGAGCAAGGGTTCTAGCTAACGCTCCTCTCCCGCTGACCACAGGGATGGCTGCACCAGAGCAGTGCAGCTCATGTGTTTGGTTTGGCCAAGACCAACGCCTTTGCCCAGCGCAGACTGGAATCCTGCACTTGATCGCTGTCAGAGCTGACTGGTGAACGCTGCTGTTTCAATGCACCCATGACATGGTGTCGGGCTGATGTCCTGCAGTACAGTGTCTGCAGCTGCGGGGTTTATAGCTGTACTCGTAGAATCATACAAGACTGGGGTTGGAAGAGACCTCAGGAGTCATCTAGTCCAACCCCTGCTTAAAGCAGGACCAACCCCAACTAAATCATCCCAGCCAGGGCTTTGTCAAGCTGGGCCTTAAACACCTCTAAGGAAGAAGATTCCACCACCTCCCTAGGTAACCCATTCCAGTGCTTCACCACCTCCTAGTGAAATAGTGTTTCCTAATATCCAACCTAGACCTCCCCCACTGCAACTTGAGACCATTGCTCCTTGTTCTGTCATCTGCTACCACCTAGAACAGCTGAGATCCATCCTCTTTGGAACCCCCCCTTCGGGTAGTTGAAGGCTGCTATCGAATCCCCCCTCACTCTTCTCTTCTGCAGACTAAATAAGCCCAGTTCCCTCAGCCTCTCCTCCTAAGTCATGTGCTCCAGCCCCCTAATCATTTTCGTTGCCCTCCGCTGGACTCTCTCCAATTTGTCCACATCCTTTCTGTAGTGGGGGGACTAAAATTGGACACAATACTCCAGGTGTGGCCTCACCAGTGCCGAATAGAGGGGAATAATCACTTCCCTCGATCTGCTGGCAATGCCCCTACTTATACAGCCCAATATGCCGTTGGCCTTCTTGGCAACGAGGGTACACTGCTGACTCCTATCCAGCTTCTCGTCCACTGTAATGCCTAGGTCCTTTTCTGGGGAACTGACGCTTAGCCAGACAGTCCCCAGCCTATAGCGATGCATGGGATTCTTCCGTCCTAAGTACAGGACACTGCACTTGTCCTTGTTGAACCTCATCTGATTTCTTCTGGCCCAATCCTCCAATTTGTCTAGGTCACTCTGGACCCTATCCCTACCCTCCAGCATATCTACCTCTCCCCGCAGCTTAGTGGCTGAAGGGGTTCATTGCTTTCAGCAAAGTTGCTGAGGGTGCAATTAATCCCATCATCCAGATCATTGATAAAGACGTTGAACAAAACCGGCCTCAAGACCGACCCCTGGGGCACTCCGCTTGATACCGGCTGCCAACTAGACATTGAGCCGTTGATCACTACCCGTTGAGCCCAATGATCTAGCCAGCTTTCTATCCACCTTATAGTCCATTCATCCAATCCATAGTTTTGTAACTTGCTGGCAAGTTTCTGCTGTTTGGTGTTTAGTTTAGGGTTAGTTTCTATGTTGGTTGCCTCTTGATTCCTGCTGTCTGACAGGCAGTTATTAAAAGCACAGTCCAGCTGATCTCCACAGCATCCCGAGGTGGCTCAGTCAGACGCTCTAACGAGGCAAGCAGCAGCCTTCCCCGCTGACTAGGACTTTTGGTTAACTTGCCGTTCAGGTGACCTTTGCCCCCTCCAGCTGCTGGAATGTCCCAGCACCAGAGACACACAGCAGAGCGGACCCTAACCCGGCCAGAGCCTGGGAAGCCCCAACAGACAGCAGAGCCCTGACCTCAGCGGCTCTGCACAATTAGCTGACAGGGCACTGCAGCCCAGGGCGGGGCTGTCCCTAAGACACCTGCAGGCACACGGGAAGGGAAAGGCTAGACACTACAGGCACAAAGACAGAGGGGGATGCTCCACCTTCCCAGCCTGGGCCCACTGTCCCGGTAAAGACTCCTCCAGGGGCAGTGACAGCGCCTCCAGGGTATGTGCAGCCCCACTCAACCCTTCTGGGATCCACCAATGGATTGAGACCCACCGTTTGGGAAAGGCTGGTCTAGGCCGACAGAGCTCCTCGGTAACCTACTCAGCAGTATCACCTGGGTTCCTATTGCACAGAACAGCAGGGGCGCAAGTCTTCTCAGTGCGGGCCTACCTCCCGCCGTTGGCCACATGGAAGAGCGATGCAAGGAAAGGACTGAATGCATTTTAGTAGCTGGACCCATGCCGAGTGAGCAGCACCCCCCATGTCAGCTCCCCGCGGGCTGCCAGCAGGAGGGCCCCAGGCTGCAGCAAAGGGGCGGCCGCTCTAGATCTCATTAATACAGCACCCCCTGTGCAATACTCGTGATCCCCGCACCAAGCTCAGGAACGGGGAGACACCCAGTTCCGAGGAGCCATGCTGGTTCCCATGCTGGATGCCTGACCCTCCATCGGGGTTCTTGGCCATGAGAGACAGTTGTTTGTACTTTCCAAGTCTATATTTAGAGCTTGCCTAAGCGACCCGGAATATTTGTAGCATGCGGCATGTTTTCAGTATCACAGGCAAAAATATTGTTGTACTTGGGCTCTTTGTGCTGAAAACAATTAACCCCTTCAGCCCCAAGAGACAAGTGAGGAACAATGACCCGAGTCAGAGTTTAAGGCCAGGTCTTCCAGTCTGATCTCCTACACAGCACAGCCCACCAGCACCCCCACACGGAACTCAACCCCCAAGTATCACAGCCCACAGGAGACCGGGTTATTACGCACCACACGGAGAGAACAGGAAGGACCTAGGTGCCCAAGGCCCCTGCCATGGCAGGGAAAGGATGAAGGGAGATATCCCAGATGATCCTGGCAAGTGACCCGCACCCCACGCCGCAGGGGAAGGTGAAACCTCCCCAGGTCACTGCCAGTCTGACCCGGGGGAAATTCCTTCCCGACCCCCCACGTGGTAGCAACCAGCTAGATGCTGAGTATGTGAGCAGGAACCAGTCAGACAAGCACTCGAGAGAGAATGCTCCGTGCCACCTCAGAGCCTGCCCCCCTCCTTGCCCAGTTGCTCATCTCCAGCCATGGCAGTGACAGGGGCTGGGAAAACCCAGGCATGGCAGACAGAGACATGAAGCCAGAGAGAACATTGGAGCTCAGAGGATCATGTGAAAGGGAGCCGGGAGCCAGCCCCCAGGAGCACTCAGCAATTAACCCACGGGCCAGATTAGCCAGGCCCCACACAGCCCTGTGTCACCGTGCTCCTGGCTCGAGTGGCCTTGGGCCAGTTAAAGGCAAAGGCCCTGGGGAATACAGAAGGGACTGGGCCCAGAGCCCTTGGCTATCAGGGACTCACCGAGGATGACATGGACTCGGACGGAGAGCTGCGTGCGCAGGATCAGAGTTGGCCGCCGCCCTTTGCTGGAACGAGAGGAATGCAGGTAAGTCACCACAAATGTCACCAATAGCCTCGCTCGCGGACAGCCAGGGCCTGCTCACAGCACCGCCATCGGGAACCTACAAGTCAGCAAGGCCCAGACCCATGCCGACCAATGGGCACCAGCCTGCCTCCATACTCAGCACCAGAGCCAGATCCCCTAATGATCTGCCAGCCACCTCTCCCCCAGAACAGCTCCTACCCTCCCCCCGCCATGCCCCACTTCCACAGGTTACTGACAGCAGCAGCACCCAGCTATTGCTGGGGCCTGCCAGATCATCACAACCACCCACAGGAAACCAATTCTACGCAGTTACACTGGGGGGGACGGGCAGCTCTTTGGAGCACTGTCCTGGGGCCTCCACGCACCCCTCCAGCGTACTTCTGTCCTGATCTGTGGCCGCTCCTGCTTTCCAGGCCTGACCTCTCCCCACAGCTCTGCTGAGGCACCTCAAGTCCAAGGTCCCTCACTCCCCACAGACTGCCCTAGAGTTTGACCAAAACTGGCCTGTCACCAGGCTCTCGGCCCAGGGGCTCAGTTTAACATCCAGGAAGTAGCTGGCAAAGGAGTGAATCCCCCAAGTGACTCTACCAGCCCCAGCCCCAATTCCAGCCATTCTTGCTCCCCCGCAGGCCTCTCACTGTCTGCTCCATCCTGCTGAGCAGGCGGAAGAGCAACATGCATCAGCGTCTCACTCCATGGGGGCGTCTGGAGAAGGCAAAGGTGGGGGAAGCAGGGTCACGTCGTCTGGCTGGGCAGCCTCCTGAGTGGAGACAGTGACTCATGTCCCACTCGCTCAGTTCAGACAGGTAGATCTGCGACTCCAGCAACTCACCCGATCTCCTCGTAGAATCCTTCCAGCTCATCTTTCTGCTCCAGCAGGGACAGATCAAGATCCAGGTACTGGCCAGATGGTGAGACTTGCAGTGTACAGTCCGCCAGCTGCAAACACAAGGCCCCCCCACAGATCAGTGATGGTGCTTGCTACCGGGAGGGAGGAATGCATAGCGAGGTCGTGGGGAGCAGAGTCTGTGTGAGGCACCCCAAGAACTATACTGCCACTCTGCACTTGTAGAGGACAAGTAGCCAATCAGCAGCAGGGCTAGGAGTAGAACCCAGGAGTCCTGACTCCCAGACCACCTGCCCCCGCCTCTCAACCATGCGACTCCCTAGCCATTCCCTCACGCCCAGCTGCTGGGGTTGCACAGCCGTGCGGCGCCTTGAAAACAGCTCACTGAGGATTTAACGGAGGCACTTTAGTTCAGCCCTAGGGGGCCAGAGTGTAAGTCACTCACGAGTCCAGAACCTCCTATTCCGTGTCCCCTCAGCAGCAGCATTCTGTCCCATCCCATCCCCCGGGCTCGGGGTTTCACAGGCCATTTCTCCACATGCCTGTCTTCTCTTCCCCTCACCAGAGTCAGAGATTCCAAGGCCAGAAGGGACCATTGTGACCATCTAGTCTGCCCTCCTGTATGCACAGGCCAGAGACCTGCCCCGAAACCATTCCTAGAGCAGATCCTTTAGAAAAACCACCAGTCCTGATTTAAAAATGGTCAGTGATAGAGAATCCACCAGGGCCCTTGGTAAATTGTTCCAATAGTTAATTGCCCTCACGCTTAAAAACGTATGCCCTATTTCCAGTCTGAATTTGTCTAGATTCAACACCCAGCCATTGGATCGCGTTAGACCTTTCCCTGCTAGACTGAAGAGCCCATTATTAACTATTTGTTCCCTATGTAGCAACTCAGACTGGGATCAAGTCACCCCTTAACCTTCTCTTTGTTAAGCTACATAGCTTGAGCTCCTTGAGTCTATCACTAGAAGGCAGGTTTTCTAATCCTTTAATCATTCTTGGAGCTCTTCTTTGAACCCCCTTCAATTTATCAACATGTGTCTTGAATTATGGACCCCAGAACTGGACACAGGATTCCAGCAGTGGTGGCACCAGCACCAAATACAGAGGTAAAATAACCTCTCTGCTCCTACTCACCATTCCCCAGGATCACATTACCTCTTTTGGTGACAGCATCCCACTGGGAGCTCACGTTCAGCTGATTATCCACCCTCCCCCCGAATCTATTTCGGAGTCACTGCTTCCGTTGCTAGCTCACGGTCCTGTGCAGGCAGCTAGGTGAAATGCACTGGTCCCCTCATCTCTACAGCGCTTGAGCACGGAGCTACGGAGCCCAGTGACGGAGCTGACAGCAGGTGAGGAAAGAGGCCCAAAAGGAGCCCCCAAAGAAAGGGGGAGGGGAATAAAGACAACCCATAGAGGGGAGCGTGGGGCAGGGACAATTCAGCAGTGGGGTGAGAGGAGAGGACACCGTACCAGCCCCTAAATAGCGACTAGGTGCTAGCAGTTCTCCCCCACCCATCCCTCCAACACACACCCTAGAGACGCAGCCAGCTGCATCTCTAGGGTGTCATGGCAGAGGGACATGTGCAAACACCCCCAGTACACACAGGCACTGGTGACTCACCCATCACCATGATCCTGACAAAGCCTGCACGCTGACTCATCGCTGCCTGGCCGCTTCCTGTCATGAAAATCACAGCCTCCAGGCTGTGCAGCATTCACATCCCAAAATACAGGGCTCCGAGCAGGGGAGCACAACACCAACAAGTTCAGCCACTCCTGAGTCACAATGCAACCACTCCAGGGGATCGGCCACGTGGCCCTGGCCTCAAGCCAGGTAGGCTCTGCCTGCCATCTCTGTGGTGGACAGCGGTAAGACCCCTCCCTCTCTCCTACAAGAGAGGATGCCCCCTTCCAGCAGGGCGATGGGGAGAGTGCCAAGCAGGGACTGGTGATCTCAGCTCTGTGGAGGAAAGTCAGAAAAGCCACCGTAAGGAGGCTCCCTTCCTGAACAGCACGAGGGGAAAGGGCAGCTCCCGGCCAGTTCAGCCTAGAATTGGAGCCGCTTGCCCAAACGCTGCCTCTTCCTCCGACTCCCACAGCCCACCTCCCTCAGACACGTAGCTGGAACCAGCTTCACCCTTGGCCCAGCTTATCTCACGCTGGTGTTCTGAATTCTGTACTAATATGTCTGACAGGAACTCTTGCTCTGGGGTCAGGGATTGTCACAGAGACCCTCGCGGGGGGGCAAAGCACCCTCCGTGGAAAGGGCAGGGGCCCAACCCCAGCTCTCCACATTGTGACAGACAAGGCACTTCCTTCTGGGATACCGTCAGGAGACCGAGGGGAAGCAGGAGGTAGAACACCCTGGGATCTGGCTCCGGAAAACAGATAGACTTGGCAGCATTCGATTTCAACCAGTAACCGGCGGCAAACATCCATTTCAGCTGACACACCGAAATCAATCCATGGGTAAAAGGGGAGCCTGAAGGGATTGGGTGTCAGCTCTTTCCGGACAGGAAATCCCACATCACAGCTCCTTCTCGTGGTCTGGAAGGTTCACTCTGCACTGACATCAGGGAGTGGATACTTTGCAAGTCCGGCCCCACATGCTGCAGATCAAACTACGTGCCCTCGCGCTCGGCCTTTGGAAGGTAGGGCCTAACTGGCCTTGGTATCTTGCTATGGCAAGTCACAAGCCAATTTACGTCTGTTTGATTCTTTGTTAGTGTCGTCACTATGAGAAGGACCTGTCAGTCGAGTTCACTGGTCCCGCTAAAAAAGCGGACATTTTAATGCATCTTTTCTAGCCAGCAGTATACAGGAATGAGGTAGGTATCTCTTTAAATGCTCCGAGAGCCCTTCAGCGGTGCTGTGTGTGGTGGGCAGCACACACCGCCAGAACCTAGCCAGAGCAACTCTAAGGCTGTGTCTACACTTACCATTTAAAGCACAAAAAGTCCATGTTTTGTGCTAAAACCGCGGGAGCCTCTACACTTGTTAATGACTTTTTGCGGTGAAACTTCTGAGTTTCAAAAAGAAAACCACCTTCACGAGAGGCCTACAGTCCTTTGTGCTGTTGTGAAAGTGAAGACATGTTCTACCAGCGTAAACACCTTTTGGCTTCCGAAGGATATCCCACAGTTCCAAAAGTCACCACTCTGGCCAGCATCTCTGCTGCTCTGACGCCAAGTAAACGGACGTCCGCCCCTCCCCCTGTAAGCCCCGGGTAGTTGAAACTCCCTTTCCCTTTGCTTGTAGATGTGGCAGGGAAAGCAGCCAGACAGCAGGGGGAAGGGGGGGTGGGAGTAAAAAAAATGCCACGAAAGAAACAAGGAAGTAATGGGGCTGCTGGGACATGAAGCAGGGCAACACGGGGCACTAAGCAGGGACCCAGAATGCCTTCCGCTCACCCCCCCCTTCCCACAGGACCTATCGAGAGAGCTGCACTATGGGACAGTGTGGGACACTGTGCCCTACAGCGCTGCTCTCATCCGCGATGGAAGTGCTGGTAGTGTCAACACTCTCTGGC